AAAATTACTAAATCTATTTATATATTTTTATTATAATTTTTTTTATAAATAATACTAAAAAAATATCTTATATTTACTCTTTCTAATGATTATTCAAACTACATGCAGAGCAAACTTTTTAATTTAAAAACAGTAATAGAGCTAATATCTTAAAGAATATATAGTAATATCAATAGAAAAAATAATATGAAATAGTTTTCAAGAACTTAGTAGTATTTATTCACAAAAGACTACAAGTAATAAACTTAGTTCTGATAAAAAGTAACTAAAAAATTTTTTTTTTTTTTGTTATTAAAGTAGCTTATATTGCTAAGTAAATTTTATTGATTTGATATATAAGGTCATATATGAGTAATCTTCTATAGTTTATAATTATATGAAGAATATACAACAAGCTACATATATAACTTTAGTCATTATCTAATTTAAGTAATCTACTACACAAATTTTAGACTACCTATTAGTACTACACTATGTTACTATACCTGTAATCTACTTGTGAATTACCTATTTAAACATTCTATTCAACTAATCTATACTATTATAAACTAATATTATTATAATTAATACCAGAGAAGGAAAGAGCTTGTAATTAGCTTAGAAAAAAAGAAAATAGCTAAAGATTTAAAGTTGCTAGCACAGGAAAAAAGTATTACAAGAACTTAGCTTGATAGTATCTTCTTTATAACCCAAAGAAATTTTTCAGAAATTATATAGAATTAGCGATATAAAAAAGTAATTCTTTGAGAAAAGAAAGAAGGGATTACAACTAAGTCAAAAAAGAGTAAGACAAAGAAAATAAAGCCAAAAGTGAGAACCTTAGTAAATGAAGAAAAGAAAAGGTTACTAGCAAAAAAGAGAAAAGAAAGAGGAAGGAAAAAGGAGTAGATAATAGCTTTAGTAGAAAACATATTTAAAAAGGAAATTAAAGAGAGTGTTTCAAGTTGGTAGAGCTTTCTTTAAATTAGTTAAACTAATTGTTCTAGTCATCTGACTAGTATGATAGGTTATACCTGAGCACTCTAGAAGTAGCTAAGTAAGGTCAAACTTAGAAATTAGGTAGATTTTTTTAATCAAATATAACTTGGCTATGGTTCTAGTTAACAACTTAATAAAGTTTATGACATGACTGTCAAAGGAAAAAAAAATTATCATTATAATATTTAACTACTTATGCTAGCTAGTTCATTATAAATCTATTTATTAAATTTAGTTTAGATTCTTTCAGATTACATTATACTTAATATATTATGAATATTTGCAAAGCTAGTTAATCTCAAAGTATACCTACTAGAGTAGTCTGTACTTATTTCACAAATTCACTTAGCTTAGACTCTTGTGAATGTTCATATAACTCTAGTTTTTACTGTAGTTTTCTACTAATATATGTTTTCTGATCTTGTCAAGGTCTATCATAAGTTTATTCTCTAAATCTAGTTAGCTGCTAAGCCAATTTAGTATTACTATAATATATAGTGATCTCTACTACAATACAGACTTATATATACCTAATCTGATTTGAATCTTTGAGTATAGTCTTCTTCTGAATTAAGTGTTAGCTAGTATGACTATCAAAAGCTATACTACTTCACTAACTTAGAATTTTTATCATATAGGTCTTCTGCTTATAGATTTTATCAAGATTTATTTATATAATATTATGTCTCTCTAAATATCTCATTACACTTCTAATATTTAGATAATATTAATGCAATATGATTTACAGGATTATAACTCTAAAAACAGATAGAGTTTACTATAAGTTAAGTACAAAGGTCTGAGTAATTATTCAAATTTGTTAACAGTAGAATTTGAATTCAAACCTCTTGCATAGCAGTCTAGTAACCTAACTACTATACTAAGATTGCTAAACTTTACTAAAAAATATTTTCAGAAAAATATATTACTAAATTTATATATTAAAAATTAGAAGATACTAAGCAGATACTCTACAATATTAAATTAGATTAGATATTAATATTCTTTTTATTATAAAGTAGTTCAAAAATTATATACTCTGCTTTTCTTTAGTTATCTTTTTTTTAAAATTAGTTTTTTTTCTTCAAACAATTAATAATATTTACAAAAATAAAACATTAACAACTCTTCTTGATGATTTTTTATACATATAATAATATTCTATTTTCTAATATAATATATAAGAGTAAAACTAAAAAAACCAGAAGTTTAATAAAATATATTCTATCATTAAAGAGTAGGCTACGAGCTATTTATAGATTATTAGTGCTTTTCTATATTATATATATTATATATTTTGTATATATTTTATATATTTTATCATTAGAAATAAGCCTTGTAGATATAAAAGCTAAAGAAAATACTTGAATAGAGTTGAATATAATACTACTCCTCATACTTTTAAAGTTTATTTTAAATATTTTTACTCTCTCTTCTAAATCTTTAGTTAGTTTTGAAAACAGTTTTGACTATTTAGCGAACTTGAAATATTTTTTGTACAAAAAGTAGGAAATGAAACTTACCTCTTACTAAAGATCAGCATATACATTATTAACAAATTTGGAAGTAGACTTATAGTATGACAACAACAAATATGTATATAAAAAAAAAAAAAAACAAATATATGTATATTTTGAAGTTAGCATAACAAATATATAATTTTATTTTGCAATATAAACTACAAGTTTACTGCAATAATAATGAGCTATCACGTATTCGACAAAATAACCAAATCATTATCAAATATTAGAGATATTTGCAAATAAGTATATTTTATATTTATAATTTTTAACTATCTAGACTTAGTATATTTAGATTATGATTCTTATGAGACGTCTTTTATTTTATTTTATTTTTTTATTTTTGTTATATTCCTTTTCCTTTTAGCTTGTTAGATTTTTATCTTGTTAGCAAGTTTTTCTAACTTTGCTTTAAATGTTATATGTAGTATATAGCCTTGTTTTTCACTATATGTAACAATTTTATTTTACTTTTATTAATATTTAACTTCCTAGACAGTTAGACAAAATTGTCTAGACTTTTCTTTTTTTTTATATTAAGAAAGTTTTTAGTGTAACAAATTATGTTTGAGTATATATACAAATAGATTATCAAGTAGTGCTTTCTATTAGGGAATTAGATATATAGAGAAGAACTATAGGTTTTTGTATTAAGTTAAATCTTATACAGACTAGTCATTTGTAACATTTTATCTAATAAATATGTAAAGTATAACTGTCAAAGAAAAAAAAATTAATAATATTTACTACTATTTTTAGAAAACTCTAATAATAATAACTATATAATAAACAAAACATATATTTATATTATGTTTTATTATATCATATATATTAGGTTTTAAAAAGTTTTAATAAAAATAGCATAAGTACAGAAACAGAAGATACTAAGAATAGATATTAGATAGAGAATTTAAAAGATATATTTATATTATTAAAACATAATATTTATACCTAGTCTAGATCAAAAGACAACTTTTTTTTTATTTTGTTTTTTTCTTTATTTGTTTTTTTTTTTATATTAGATTTGTTTTCTTATAACAGATTTTTTTTAGTATAAAAATAGTTATAGACTATAACTACTTAGGTTTATACAATTTTTATTATTTTTATATTTTGAAACTAGATATTAACTATTCTCAACTTAGTTTTACTAGATAAGAAGAGATCTAGAATATTTATATATGACTAGAAGTTGTTTTCACTAACCAAATTTTGTGAATCTGTGTATATAGATTAATGTTTTTGTAAGAGAAATAGCCTCTGCAGCAAATTGAACTTAAATATCTTTGAAATAGCTAAATTAGTTTAAAATAGTTTAGAAAAAAACATATTAGTATACTAATATAATAGATTGTTTTTTGCTTTTTTTATTAAACTTTTCTTTAATAAAATAATAGGCAAAATCATTTGATATAAAAAAAAAATATCTTATATCTGTTAAATAAAAAATAAAATAAAAACTTAATCAACTAAAAAGATTATTTTAAAAAAAATATATATATAAGCTAGATAAGATTGGTAATAAAGCTAATAAAGCTCAATAGTTATATGAATAAAGCTTAAAAAACTAATATTTATTAGCTTTATTTAAAACTTTATTAGCTTTATTTGTAGCTTTATTAACTTTATTAAGCTTTATTATCAACTCTGAGACTAAGTGCTACAAAAAAAAACCGTACGTATTAACAATTTTTTTAAACTTTTTTTTTTTGAATCTAACTAATACAAAATTAGCTTAAAAATATTTTTTATTTAAGAAACAAATACTGCTTTTCACTTAAGAAACAAATACTGTTATCTTAATAAAATTATACTATATAACTCTTTAAAGTTTACATTTTCTTATAATTTATTATAAGATTTATAACATCATTGATTTTTCGAAAAATTTTTTTTTTTTTTGTCAATTTCGTTTATATATATACGATATTATACAAATAGTAATCGTCTAACATTATAAATTGTATACTATGTTTTTTATTTTTAAATGCAATTCTTTAAACTTTTAACAATATAAATAAACCTAATCTTCAATAATAATACAGTTTTTTTTATTTTATTAAATTATATTTATTTTAATCAATTAAAAATTTAAACTATATATATATATATATAAGAAAAAAAATAGGCTAATTATTTTAGTTTTTTGAATAAAAATTTTGTACACAATAATAATATGTAAATATGTATAAAAAACGTCCCAATTATCTTTTTATATCCACAAGTAATAAGCTCGACAAAAAGTAATTTCTATTATATAGTGTATAATACAAGCTAAAAAATATTTTTAAATTTTTAAAATCATGTTCTAAAGAAAAAATTGACAAATTTTATACACACTGAAAAAAAAATCAGCCTAATCCATTAACAAAAATCATTATCATATGCCAATTAATTCTTTTTTGTTTGGATATATTAAGTATAAACAGTTATACATAAAAAATCTGGTTCATCCTTTTTTTTTTTTTCTTTTTTTTCTTTTTTTTTTTTTTTTTTTACCAGTCAAAGATTGCTACTATCAAATGATGAACGACATCCGAAAACACTATCGGTTGAATATTTTTTATGTGTACCATAATTCTGTTCTGATTTGTGTTTAATCGCTTTATAATCGGAATTATCATTATTCAACTCATAAAGGTTTTGTATTTTATTATCTGATGAATAATCTGAAAACAATGATAATCCTAAAAAAAAAAATTATTGTTTTAATATAAATTGAATTTACTTTATAATCTTAATAGTCAAGATTTAATGAAAAATACCATTATCATCGGTCCAAATACAACCTTTTCTATGCTCTTTAGACTCTAAAATATATAGTATTTGTATAAAAATCGTAATATAATTCATAGCTGTGATAAAGGTCGAATTAATTAATTAATTAATTACCTGCTTTATTTAGCGAACTTTCTAATCTTCTTGAAGAAGTTGAAGATCTAATCGATTCTGAAGTTTTTGAATTTCGTTCACTACGGTCTACTATATCTTCAGTAACTTCTGTTGGTGCTATATGTTAATTAAAAGTTTTATTTAAATTACTAAAAATGGAAATGATAATAGATATAATAATGTTTGACAATTACTTTGTTCATGATTAAGAAGAACGAATTTATATAATTCTTCGTCCATTTTCAGCGTTCCATTGAAATAATTATTATATTCTCCGACTATATCCATATTTCTCATGACCAATTCTCTGTCATCAGATATTTGTTCTAAGGCCTGTAAATCTACAAACTTATAAAAGTATTGCTGAAAGTCCATACTCATTTGTCGATAAAATCGTGCCTGAATTTTAATTAATTCTTGTACAAGTATATCAAAATATTCTATCATAAACATAAAGAATGCGGGTAATTCTTCGCGTAATTGTTCCGAAATAGACACAAAAGCATCCGCAGATTGTTGGAGTGATTTTTCGGGCTGGATATAGAAATTATAATTGTGATTGTAAAAAAAAATCAATAACATATCACTTAAAAAAACTTAAAGACGCGTTATTGAGACTTATACACTTACTATTTCACCTTTAATTTTCAATAAGTTGGCATGACAATAATCCAAAAGTTTTCGTTCACGTTTCCTCATTACAGCTGCGGGAGCTTTAAAGAGCGACAAAAATTTCTCAATTTGAGGAAATAAAACTTTTTTAATTGCATCTTCCTATTATTAAATTTACTCATTAATCAACATTTCATTAATATCTACATGAATTGATAAGAATGAGCGACACACCATTTCTTTCCCACAAGAATATTCAAGGCTTTTAATAGCCTTTCCATATTCAATCATTTTTGGAATTTCTCGATCTTTATTTGAAGATAACTCTAATGTATGAAATTCTTCTATTGCGGCTGCTAATCGCCGCTGGTCTTCAAAAAATGCTAATGTACATTAAATAAAACGATGTCGTCAACACCCTCAAAAAATACATGCAAAAAAATTTTCATGATTAATTGATACTTACATTTAATACTTTTAACCCAACATTTTACTTCCTTTACTAATTGAATTCCTCGTTGTTCCAAAGCTTTAAACTTTTCTACAAAAGCATTGTAAAGTTCATCTTCTGCGGCTTTTATATCATTGCGTTTCTGTCAATATAATTATTATTTTTGAAATTAGTGCTTTCCATCAAGTAATGTTTCTTTTAAAAAAAAATTGCAGATGCCTACCATATTTCTTTTTATTTTTTTCGTAAAACCATGTTTAATAGCACTATATTCACAATAAAATAATGAATAACGAACGTAATATTAAAAATATATATATATATATCAGATATATAAAATTACTTACACAAACTATTTAATTGATAAAGTCACAATAATGTAAAATTTTAATAAATTTTTTTCTTAATTAAATCAATTAATATAAAAATGGAAATATACTAACGTTAACGTCGATATGTTTTTTATTGCCTACAATTTTTTCGACTATATCTTTGCGTTTCTTTATTTCATTAATACGACTTGCAACTTTTGTAATTTCCGATAAAGAAAATTGAAGTTGCTCATAATCCGGATGTGAGGGTTTTGTGCGTGATAAAATTTGCTGCACAAATTATATGATGTAAAAGTTTTAAGTTAGTGAACCTAAAAATCAAATTCATGACATGGAGCAGTAAAGGATTTTTCTCACTTGTAATAGCAACGGATATTTTAATACACGCTGCACTGGCTTTATTAAAAGACTTGTGAGATCCCAAGATGTTGTTCGACCATTGCATTGGTTCTTACATTTCTTTTAGATATAATAAAATTAGCATAAGAGTATTATAATGTGTAATTTTTTTTTAAAATATATATATATATGTAAATAAATAAATAAAATAAATTCATAAAAACCTGTAAAAATCCTTGAACATTGTCATCTTTATCAAACTCTCGAAGTTTTTGAACAGCGGCCTCATGCCGTTTACAATATTCACCATAAACCTTTTCCAACCTACTATCACCTTGATGTTTTCTCATCTATTCAAAACAGATATGTGAAAAAGTAAATTTAAAGTTTAAACGCGAAAACATATAAAAGGATAACAAAATATAATCCTACCATCTGAGCAAACACATCCCCGATATAAGTTTCATCATTTTCTAACTTATGACGTTTGTCAGGATCATCATTTAATTCATCAATTCCACTAGCTGCAAGTAATAAATCTAAAAAATCGGCGGAAAATTTTATTATTTCCGGTAGATTACTAAATATTGTTTTACAATCATATTGGTCGAAAATAGGAATATCTCGTGCTTGTATAAAATACACCTTATAAGATAAAAAATTTAAAAAGTAAGGTTAATAAAAAAATCAACAAAGTCATTACACATTATTTAATATTTAAATAATTTACTTCTTCCAAAAGCTTCATATCTTGTAAGAAAGCTCTTTCAGTGTCTACCAATTCTTTTATGACATTCCACAATTGTTTACGTCTTTTTAAATCATCATCTTCGATAGAAGGAGCTTCACTCAAAGAATTTTGTGAAAAAGATTCAATATGATTTATATTTGGATTTATATCTGAAGGAGTGAATGAAAATTTTGAAAGCGGAGATGGTGGATGAGGCTTTAGATATGAATCTCTGTGTTGTATTGAAGCTGAAGATAATGAACTTCTGTGCTGTATTGAAGTCAAAGATAATGAATTTCTGTGCTGTATTGAAGACGAATATGCTGAATCCCTGTTGAGCATTGAAGTCGAAAATAATAAATCCCTGTTCTGTATTGAAGTCAAAGATAATAAATCCCTGTTCTGTATTGAAGTCGAAAATGATGAATTCCTGTTCTGTATTGAAGTCGAAGGTGATGACTTCCTGTGCTGTATTAAAGTCGAAGAAGAAGATGATGATGATGCAGAGAGCATATTGTCCCGTTTTGTTTCAGGAATAGTTGAAGGAGTAATGACAGGAGAATTCTTTTTTGAAAGTCGAGCATTACTTTTTGCATTTTTCGTAGGAATAGTTTTACTAATTGAAGGATTTTGTATGGATTTCTTTGGCATAATCTTTGAACCCCTCCTTAAATTATCAGTTTCGCTAATTTTTTCAGATGGATAATGAACAGGACTGACATTAAATGTGCCAGACTTGAACGTTGGAGAAGGTACAACGGAAGCACTTGATCTGTCACGTACTTTAATATTAGTGTTAACATTAGTGTTAATAACATTGATACTACTTGTACGTTTAGGTATGTTAGCGATTGTGGTTGGTCTCCTAATAGGATTCTTTGGTGGTATAGAAGGACGATTATTGACAATTGCTGTTGGTTTTTTGGTTATTATAAGCACCTTTTAATCACAAAAAGTCAGGTTAATTTAATAAAATAATCATAAACAATATCCATAATAAGTGTATAACAGAGTATAATGAACTCACCACACCATCTTCTTCATCAACCTGTTCGATATTATCTAATATTATAGATTCATCATTTATGTTCTTTGTTTTAACATTAGTAATATTATTACGTGATGCCGGCTTTCTCTTATTTGATTTATTTGATTTTTTAGGGGGTAATTTTGGTGAAGTAGTAACATAGGACGTGACAATCGTCTGATTTTCTACTATTTTAGAGTCACCAAAATCACCAGATTGAGCGATAATATTTTGATCGTAGATTGAAGATATGTTTGTGTTTGGTTTTTTAGGCGGAATTGAAGACGGATTTGGTTCACAATCGATTTTATTGGAAGGAGAAGCAGAATGTTTAGGAGGTTTGAGCCTTGAAGTAGTTGGAGTCTTAGCTTTTTTGGTAGTTTTTTGAACCATCTGACGAGAAGATCCATATCTACGAGTATCTTTATCCATTACTTTTTTTGTATGACATCAAGATGATAAAAAAAAAAAAAACTAGTATAAGACATTTGAAGTAATACTCTGCGATGTTCACACATCTATTTTCACGAAACATTTTCATAATTGATAATTACCGTTATCGATATATCCAAAAAAATTTGAAATTTCAAGCACTTATAGTAAAAAGGAAAGGAATTTTATTCTGTAATCAAGTTTTATTCGATTTTTATTAGTTTGTACTGAATATTAAAAATGCAGAGATCATACATAATTAACAGAGGATAATCCTATTTATAAGTTTAGTAATAACGCACCAAAAATATTTATTTATTAGGATTAAAAAAAAAACTAGGATACAGTAAAATAAGAAGTCGAAGAAAATAATTCTCGAAATATTATTATTGATATTTTTGCAATAACTTCCATTCGTACTGGTAAGTAATAAATTTTAAAAAGAGTTCGGACTAAAACTAAACTTGGAATGTGTATCGTATTTATAAATAATATCTGCCATCGTACTACTTACGGTAATGAAGTCACGCGAGAATTGAACTGCGATTATTACTAGTAATGCATATATTAACATATCAGATATCATAAATGTCACCTTTTAATCTACTACGTACTTAAAGTATGTACTGTACGTACATACGTGCACATACGTTAGTAAGCAACTACATACCTAATATCAGATATCGATATGCGTATATTGCTCACTGTACAGTAGTAATCTATGTCATTAATATGCTAATACCGATACTTTAGGATTATTATCTCTCACATTCGCATGTGATAATCTCATATATTCATAAACCATCTAATTCAGAGATTATGAAGATTATGAGGATTTATCGTTATGGTATATTTTTTTTGAAATAATAAACTAAATATACTATCGCTATGATTTAAAAATACTTTACATATTAGAAATTGTATTTATTTTTGTGAACATTATATATACTAAATCGAGCAATTATTAAGCCATTTTTGAAGTTGGACCTAGAAATTTTTAACGTTAATTTTTGGACGTAGTAAGACTAAAATTAAAAATGCATGCAGTTGATCTCAATAATTAATTTTCATTGGTCAAAATATTAATAGATTATTGATTTTTGGAGAGTTGGCTGACCCAATTTCACTTATTCGTGGGGGTATAAATCAAAAGGAAAACTTAAACTCTATAATTAAATCAATGTTTATACCCGATACTGTATCTATCGTCGGATCCAAGAATTCCGCTTAATATTCCTTATTTACGCATTAAATAAATATAACGAATTTAATACGTTAACATAATAAAATTCATTTAAAAGAATGGGAATACTTTTTATTTTTCATTAGATTGATCTTGTATAACATAAAATATCATATTATTCCCAATCATTGGTTAAAGATGGATGTCTAAAGAACCTAAATTGTCTGTCATTGGTAAATTTAACGTTAACACGATCAATAGAGAACTGATCAAATTTCTTTCGTTATAAAAATATAATTAAGTTATGATCTTAACAGTTATACGTATCGAGAATATTACATTATACGTACGTATAGAAGTTAATAGTTAAATTTAGAACAAGCAATGTTTTTTATGTACTGTTAAAAGTGATACGTACGTACAATGATAATTTATTACGTATAATAGGCGAAATTTTTTGCCTTATCCTATATACAGACGACATATTATTCTGCCAACATTATCATTCACTCACAGGGATAGTTCAATCAATTTCTCTTCCTAAAGTATCATTATACATAAAAGGCTGTTAAAATATTCTGCAGGGGCTGCTTAATCAATGTTCTCAATTTATTATTTACCAGTTACTGTATCGGTATTATTTTTTTTTATATTAAAATAATAATAATGCAAAGAGACCTCTCTAAATGCATTCTCTAACAAATGCACGGACTATATAAATTCTATTTAAATGCACGTATTGGATCAGTTCCAAATATATGTTTTATAAAATCGCTTTCTATAAATGCATCTTTTAAATGCATTTTTCGTCTAAACGTCCATATGATCATCGATTGGGTGCATTCAAAAAGATCTGTATTATTATTATTACATATTATTATTTATTTATTCTCACTATTATTTTTTTGACAGTCTTTCCCATTTGTTCGTGCCTTCCAAGCTTTTACCCATTCTTCAATTCTTGCAACGTTACTTTGCATATCCTCTATATTATTACTTTGTAGTTCAACCACGATTCCTGCCGAATATGATTCCCTTGCTTCTTCCAATATCACTTGAAATATTTCACTATCAATATTTTCCGTGATTTTTTTTGCTGAATAACCTCTAATTATATTAATGTAAATTAACTTGGTCAAAAATTTTGCTCTTTTATATGTAGTTTGTTAAATATGTATTCAATAAACATACCGCTCCTTTAATCGATCATACAATGTCGTGTTATCAGTTCTTAATACCAGAATTAAATCAAACCAACGTTCGGGAAATACTTCACAAGAATGAAAATCTACAATATTTCCTCCATTTGATAACGTTTCTTCTAATTCATCTATAAGCTAAAGATAATTTCATTACCTTGTTTTTTAAGATCATAAATTTTGTTTTTTAAGATCTAATTTCATAATACCTTATCGTCGTCTAAAATCCAACTTTGAAATTCTTGATCAAATCCTTGATGTAATGACTTTTCTTTAACTAAATCACCTACGTTTATGTGAAGTAACCCTGTTAAATCCGACGCTAGTTGACTTAATGTTGTTTTACCAGTTCCTGGCGTACCAGTTATAAGAATGTTTGGTGTTTGGCTACGCAAAAAGAAATCACAGCGATTATAATATTTGTATAAACTATATAGACTTGACTTGACTCTGCCAAAGTTTTTATATAATACCGTTCGATATACTCTTCTTGAGTTTTTTGTTCTGAATCGGACATTTTAAAAAAAAAAAAAAGCTTGATCACGTGTAATTATCACTGATGATCATCGATTTATACTGTTACGTATAACAGATAACGTTAATTAACGTTAACGTGTAGTTAGCGACGAAGTTTGGTTTTGGTTTGATATCATATATGCAGTAACTGCATATAATATATACAGTAACTATAATATAAAATATTAAACCAAACCAAACCAAACTTTTCCATCTCTGCTTACGCCAACGATGATAATCGGTTTAACAAGAACAGCCAATCAAATTAAAGAATATATTTGATGATTTTTTATTAACGTTATTAAAATTATTATGTACGTAGAAGGTAGTTGTATATCAGTCGATCGAGATGTCACATCTAATTTTTTATCATATGATTTTCATAAATTACACAAATAGACGAAATCACGTTTTTAAAATTTTCTCCCAAAGTCTTAGTCATAACACGCAACGTTCCTTAAAACAAATAGGTTGCCAGAGCTTCAACGAATCGAATAATATTAAGAATATGAAAAACTAACGTCACCAGGTAATGTGTGATCTCTTCAAAGATAGGCAATTATTTTACCTTCTTTTGTAAGATTCTTTTGGAGTTTTCAAGATCTTGATGTAAAAAGTAGTTTGTTAGACGCGCATGAGCGAGAACTTTCGGCAAAATGCATCTTTGAAAAAAGGGTATCTTATAAAATTATAGAGAAAAATAAGAAAAATCATTTTGTAGTATACAGATTGCAATTTTGCTAATGCTGTTTTTTTTTTTTTTTTTTTAATATTTAGCTACCTATATTCATGGTAAAATCATTGGTAAAATTATTTTCTTTTATTATTTACACTTTCGTCATATTCTAATTTATTGTGCCAGCAACGCTTTATGGGAATTCACAATACGGGCTTGGTACTAAGAAAAGAGACGAATTTGACAAAAAAAATAATGGGTACAAAAAATTAATTATCTCACGAAGTATCGATCAGAATTATGTGATTTTGGTACCATTCGATTCGTCTCAATGAGACGAATCGAATGGTATCAAAATAATATAATTCTGATCGATACTTCGTGAGATAATTAATTTTTTGTACCCATTGTTTTTTTTGTCAAATTCGTCTCTTTTCTTAGTACCAAGCCTGTATATTTTAACTTATATACAATATTTGAAATGTATTACTAGAGGAAAACCAAGTGCAAATGAAATAGCTTAAGCAATAGAGAATAATATATAGTATTTAAATTTTTTGTACTGTACGTAACCGTGAATAATAAAAATATGAAAATTTATATACTATGGCCTTTTATTAAGTTTGATTAATAAATACGTGTACATGTTTGTTAACTATTCTTAAATATAACTAAACTATTTTCTAATGAGTCTAATTATAAGTTTTTATTACAAGTGGTTACATTAATAGTTTTATTTTTGCTCAAATCTTTTGATTCGATTTATACAGTAGTTCGTCCTTGACAATAAAACAAACTACAAGATTACAAAATTTTAGTATTTCGTTCTTTTTGTTAAAAAGCTTTCAAAATTAGTGAAGTTGTTAAAAATACTTATGTTATATAAAAAACCTTCGTAAATTGGTGAAATGTAAAACTCTATTATACCGCTAGTCTATGAAATATAAAATAAAAGGCAGTCTTTAGAGGCAAGATTCTTTTTGGTTTAATTTTCTATCTTATTTTAAACTTAACCACAACGTAGTATTTAATTTTCTGAGTCGTTGCACTATATCTCGTGAGTGCAGTTGCCTTTTATGAAACCCCTGAGAAACGACGATTGAAAATGGCCTACCGTTGCAATTTACTATGAAAATCGAAAATTTCATATGAGTGTCGATCACTCAAATTTCATAGTAAAAAAATTATTCACCTGATCTGCGTGACATCTCGATCGACTGATATGAACTATATAATTACTCTAGATTATAAATTTAACTTATTTATTATATGACGATGTTGAGTGAATGTTCAATTCAATAACTTGTATGATGCTCGGTAATTAATTTATCGTTTTCATTGTTTAAATATCAAATCACATTACTTTTTTATGATAAACTAATGTATTTTTTATCGTTATCGTTATATTGTCTTATAATAATTGTGTTAATGCATGCGATCACAACATATAGCATGTGACTTGTTCGATTTAACCAATATATAAATAAGGATTTTTCTCATTATTACATTCTCGGGATGCAATGACTTTAACTACGGACAACATTCCTACGGTTCCTGCTAACAATCCAATCACCAATTCATTTAGTTCATTTGATGATATTTCTAAAAAAGTCTTGAGAGCTAATTATCCCTCGAATTTTCGAAAAACTTCTTTTATTTCCAATGGTGGAAACGTCTCTAGTAGTAGCGATTCTAATAGTTATGACATTGAACAAATATTAGAAGTTTTATTATCTACAAATTTAAATCCAAGCAATACTTTTGAACATGATTTATTAGAATTGCTAGTTTCTGGATGTAATACCATTAATATGACTGACGAGCACATGACTTCAAAATTTAGCAGAATTATCTTTACTTTCTGTAGCAGACATATGGTATGCTAAAAATTCTGTAAGAATTCTGTTAATTTTTTTATTTTATTTTTTTTTATCTTTCTAATTCTTTTCATTTTTATTGAATTCAGGTTCGTCTAAATGACAATGAAGCAAAACAACCACCTTTAGACATTTTATTAAATTTTTTGATTGGATCGTATACTAAAGCCACTCAAGTTTCCTATATTGTTGATATTTTGAGAGCTTTAAGTCAAGTTTTATATGAAAATGGTGCAAATTGTCCGAAAGTTTGGATCAATTTATTTAATATTGATCTGGTTAATATATATCTTAAATATATTTTAATAATATTATAAAATAATTTATTTATTTATTAATTAAGTTTCATCAGCAAATTTTACAAACTCTCCTTCCTGTTGCAAGATATGATTATCCGAACCTCGAAATTCGCCGTATGGCGATTAATGGTCTAGGAAATTTATGTTTTCGTAGTGGCACTAAATTACAAACAGAATATAGAAGCATTTACGAAGTACTTTTGTCGAATTTAATAACCATAGAACCTAATTTAGACGACCCTGCTTTTCTCAAAGTAAATTTGTGTAATATCTTGGATTTTAAAAGTAAAATTCAATTTATTTATTTATTTTTTTTTTTAATTATATTTTATAGGTTATTAGCAGTACATTACGAGCATTACAATTTATCATGAACGAAGATAAAACTATTGTAACAGAAACATTTAGCGAGACAATTGAAGCTATAAAGAGATACATTTTCTTTAATGCTGATGAATTAAAAAAATTTGCTTTGAATTCAGGTAAAAAATTTATTAATTCAAATTTAATTCTTTGATACTTCGATGAGATAATAATTAAATATTTTAAATCAGTGCAGATAGAACGCGTACAAATAGTGGAAACATGAGAAATAATGGGCTGACGTCACCGAGATCGCCTACACATAGTAGACATAGTCGTACAAGATCACTTGGCCGCTCTTGGTTAAGCTCTGACTCAGAATTGTCCGATGGAGAACACGTTCAAACTCGTAGAAGGTATTAATTATTTAATATAATTGTTTAATATAATCTAGCCATGTATTACTACATCTGCTGAATTAAATATATTCTAGAAATGAGGATTCTCGAATTCGGTCTAACGCAGTCGGATGTTTACAAAGTGTTGCAAGAGTAAGTATAATTGTTATTTTTTAAAATTAATATATTTTTATTTATATAACCTAAACTTTTTTTTTTTTTTACAGACCGCACCAAAGTTGTTATATCCTCATTGGAATCATTTTCTTCCTGATACACATGCTTCTATTTCTTCAGCTCCTTCTTTATTTACATTGATTCAATATGAAGCTATGCCTGCAGTTCGTATATCTGCTTGCTCTGTCATAACAACCATGATTGATGGATCTAAGCAATACTTGGCAGCTGCTGATGATAGGTTTGTTTTTTGTTTATACAATACTAATTTATTTTTTGTTCATATTAATTAAAATTAAAAAATTGCATCGATTTTTTATAGGGAAATAAAATCATCATTCACTTCGCTCTCCGCAAAATTAGGCGCAATTGTAAGAGAACTTCATGCTGGATTGTTACAAATACTTGCTAAAGAAAATCATGGTGCCATTTTGATTCAGTTATTGAAGGTTAACGATTTTCTATTACTTTTAATTGTAATTGTTGTATTAAAATGTTTATATAAAATCTAATATTATTTATATATAGTGCTGTAATACTTTGGTCAACAATACAGCTTATGATAGATTATCTGGTGGCTACCTCTCCCGATTGTATTATGCAATTGTTAGATTCCTCAATCATGAAGGTATTTTATTATTAATTTCATTATTTTTATATTTTACAAAATAATAATTATAAAATAATCATAATTTAGATAACAATGTTCGAATTGCGACTATGACACTGATATCAAACATCGTGGAATGCAAATCATGTATTGAAGAGGTTGAAAATCTTATACAAGCTGCTGTCATAAATGATGGAACAGCACAAAATTTCGAAATAATCAATATTTTGGCGTTTCTTATAAAACTTATCGGCAACCACAGTCAACATTCATCTATGAGAATTGAAGCATGGGGTGTTTTATGTGCATGTACAAGAACTCATTTTGTAGTTATAAGGTAAAATTATTTCTTCTATTTTTTAAGTCTTCTTTTCGCACTATTTAACTTATTTTTTTGTAGTCCTCTATGGGATCAAATAAATCCTTTAATTGAAATTGATCTCAAATGCGAAGATATTAATATTCGTACAGCTTCAATTATGTTTTTAGTAGAATATGCTAGAGAATTGGCTGCCGCTTGTGGGAGTCGTCAAAATGATGCAGAAGAAAGCAATTCCGAAGTAATTTAATAACTAAAATTATATATTACATATTGATATATATGTATATAATGCCTAAAATAATGTTTCATTTTATTAAACAGACTCAACAATATCAAAATTTAGATTTGACTAAAGTATTTGAATGGTGGATTGCAGTTCTTGTTAAACATGTTCAGATGGCATCAAATGATAAATGTCATGCTGTGAAAGCTCATGCATGCGATTTCTTATCATATATCCCAGCGAATATATTCTCATCGTTACCAGTGAGTTTTATCTTTATTATTTTATGTAAAAAGATTATTATATCCTAATTTTTTATTTATAATTATAGATGGAGAATAGAAACTTTTGTATCAAAATATTACTTAATTATTCGAAAGATGAAAGCGCAAATGTTAGAGCAGCAGCGTGTCGTGGTCTTGGGGTATATATTTTGTTTCCTAGCTTACAACAGGTAAATTTTATTTCTATTTCAATATTGTCATATCAATATAATATATTTTAAGATTAAATTTTTTAACATAAAAATTTTGTGAATAGGACACTAAATTTGCATCAGATATGGCATTGACAGTTATTCAACAGATGTCTGATCAAAATTTATTGGTTAGAGTTAGAAGTAGTTGGGCTTTAGGGAATTTGTGCGATACTATGGTTATTTTAAGGTATTTACTATCTATATTATTTAAATTATTTAAATTATTTATATTAATATTAATTTTAATGTATAAGTGATATGACAAACTTTTAATACGATTTTTAATTTATTATCCTACAGTAATCCTTCAAATATCAGTCAAGGAGTTACTCCTCGAAATGCTAATTTGAATGAATTTTTAATTAATGTTTTATGGGCAAAAATTGTTAAAGCTGGATTGTCTGCGGCAAACGATAATGATAAGGTAAATTTATTATTTTAATATTCTTTCATTTTAAACTTTCTAATGACGGTTTGTGATAGGTTCGCCCAAATGGAGTGAGAACATTGGGCAGCATTATCCATGTCCTTCCCACTAACTTTATAGTAAGAGAAGAAAGAGGATTAATTAAAGATGTTGTAATGGCTTTGATTAAAAATTTCGAATCTGGTTCATTGAAGGTATATAAGTTTATTTTATTTCATATTATCGCATTTTATTTTAATCACACTAAACGCCTTATTTTGCTTATATATTAGGTTCGTTGGAATGCATGTTACGCGGCCTCAAATATGTTACGGAATCCAAATTTCCCAATTGGTCAAAAATCAAACACTTGGTCTGTGCAATTATATGATGCGCTAATCAGAGCAGTTCAAACGTCCAAGAATTTTAAAGTTAGAATTAATGCATCCCTTGCGCTTGCTACACCGACTACTCGAGACAAATATGGTGACATAACTACGTTTATTAAAATTCTACAAGCGGTGGTTACAAGCTTGGAAAATATTGATAATTTGACAGGAACTGGATTCAGTGAAGTGAAATATCAAGAACAATTAAAGAATCAGGTTTGTTTATTAAGAAATTTAAAAGTTTTAAGTTGCTAATTAAATTTTAATATCTTATTTATTAAATTTTTTATAGCTTTTAGCAACATATCAGCATTTAATTTCCATATCAATGTATAGTGATCAAAAGCACATTGAGCCATTTATTGAACGATTTGCTAAATGGAGAGAAAACATGAATGAAACCCAAATTATTTGAATGGTTACTTCTTTTATTTTTTATAAGATGTTGGTATTTATTTCACTATTTTGATTTATTATTTTATATGTCATGACCTATCATTATTATCTGAATTTTGTTTTAGATATTTATTTATGTATCTATTATATTCAACGTCCTGAATTAGAAAATATTGTGTAATTTGTTTGAACATTTTTATATATTTGATAAAATATAGGTGTTGGTTTTTCTTTTTAATCAATTTATATACATTGTATCTTTGTGAAAAAATTTATTTATTATTTATTTTCAAATTAATCTTTCATTTACGATGTTAAGAATCTTTGCCTTATTATATTTTCTAAATAATATAGGTATTAGTATAGAGTTTGCGTATTCTATATAACTTAACTTGGTATAAAACTTCATATTTTAGATACTCGATATATGCATTTATATATATGAATACCATCAGCCCGTTTGCAAAAAAAAGAAAAAAAATTACGCAAATAGATGACTTAACAATTTATTTCAATTTGGCATTAATTTAAGATTCTAATTTGAAATATATTAATGAATTGGATTTACCTGTACTAGAACCAGTACATTGTACTAAAACCAGTACATTGTACTAGTTCTAGTATATACTTTAGAGCCAAATATTTACTAAATTAATATATTAACTATTGTTTTAAAAACATGTTTAATATATTTTACAAATATGTAATTATGTATAAAAATTTTGTTAGTTTTAAATTTTTTTAGAATTTTTTAAATTTTTAATTTTTTAATAGTAAATTTTAATAGTAAATTTTATAAAAAAAAATATATATAATTTTTTAAAATTTAAAATAATATTATTTTTAATATAATAACTTAATTATAATAATTTTAAAAAATCAAAATTAAAAAGTTTATCTTTATAACTTTATTTATAAACTTAAAAAAGATTTATTTAATAAAAAATTTTTTAAAGTTTTATTAAAAATTATAATATGGTTTTGATAGCTACTTTTGAGTAAAAAACAATTTTATTGTAAATTGAAATTATTTATAAAATAACAGATCAAGAGTTATATTGAAATATAAAACCTATAAATATTCAATCACAAAAAACTCTTTCTATTAATTATTTTAACTATTTTTTAAGCAAAAGAAAAAAGTACCAAAACTAGAAAACTATACTAAAAATAGCTATTAGAGTCACTAACAAAAAAGAAAACAGAGAAGAAAATATATATAGCAAAGTAGAAAAATCAGAAAAACTCTTATCTAAACAAAAACTTTAGAAAAACTATAAACAAAAACTCGTTACTAAAAACTTTTTTCTAAAAATTAGAAAACCAAAATATCTTGAAACATAGATTAGTTTATATAATATAGACATATGCAAAACAGATAAATAAACAAATATGTTACTAAATTTATATATCATGTAAGCTTAATAAATAAAAAAAATGAATTATACAAGACCAAAACCAGACGATCTACTAGCAAACTAAACAAACTTTTAGGAAATTTCTAAAAAAAATAAAATTATTTTTAGAAGTGATATTTAAAGAACTAAAATAAAAAGAAAATCAGAAACAAGTTAAAGAGTATTAATAAAGTTAATGAATATAGAGCAAAACAAGTAGATATGTAGAATAGAGAAAAAGAACTAAACTAGTATAAGCAGCAATTAGAGAATATAGCAAAAAAATAATAGCAGAAGATAGTAGATCTATCATAGGATTAAAAAATCATATAAACAAAATAATAGCAGAAATACTGAAAATAAATAGCAATATAGTGACAGTAGTTAGAGAATAGAGAAAAGTAATAAAAAGAGTACATCACTATTGAACTCTTTTTGTAGATAATTTGAACTAAAATTAGAAGTAAAGAAAAAACACAGAAAACTCCTAAACTCACTTAAAGAAGGTACCAAAAGCTATTAAAGAAAAAGAATCCTGACAGGAAAATACAAAAACATAAAGAAACAAGAAAAGCCAAACTATACTAAAAACTATCTAGCCAAAAAAAAGTTTTTTAACTAAAGAAAACTTAATTGTTATAAATTTTTTTTAAAGAATTGTTAAACCTCTAAAAATCCTATATTATTAGTTATACAAGACGTTTGTTTAGATTAACTTAAGAATTTTAAGTTACATATAAAGATATATATAAAGATTAGAAAATCAAAACAAATAAAATACAGATTACATAAAAATATATACTAAACCTTCTACTAAATTACTTCTTTCATATATCATCTTTTTACCATATAGCTTAACTATTCTATTTATTAAATTTGTAGATTTTTTGAAGTTTTACATTATATTTAATTAAAATTTATTACGATTTTGTAATCTTTCTGATCTATTTAATAAAATTTGAAAATACTATATGTCTAAATTGTGGCCTCCTAAAAGTTGTTTAGTTTTGGTTTAGTATATATTTTTATGTAATCT